GAAGACGAGTGTTGCGGTGTCAGCTGGTCTGATGTGGTGCAGCCGTCTTTGAACTTTTTCAAGTAGCATTTGATGGAAACGTCTGCCTCATAGCACCGGCATGCATGGGGGCAGGTGACAAGAAAGGTAAGACCCCCCTCCCCCCATCCTGGTGACCAGAAGTGTGGCCAGCCCCCACCCTCAACAACCCATAGCCATTGACACCTCCCCCGTGAACCCCCTCCTCTGCCTGAGTTTGGAGCTGTGTGCTAGTGCATTGGATGCTGCCACATCAACCCTGCATCTGGAAGTGTGTGAACACCCCCTCAGTACATCAGAAGAACACGTGCTGATCCCTAAACCTGCCCACTGTGGATGGCCCTGCTGGTATTTGAAATACTGGTGGCACATATTTTCAGTATCACAGCTACCACAGAACAGCAATCTGACAGATGAGTGGTGGAAATTACTAATAGCAAAACAAGTATAACAGCATTTCTATCAAATTATGCATTCACTCCAATCATAAAAATTAATATTAATCATGTAGAGGTGAAACTTTGCTTTCAGGAGGGCCTCGTCCCTGGCAAAGGAAATCATGCTTGGTAAAGTAGAGGATAGCAAAAAAGAGGAAGATCCTCAATGAGATGGGTTTTCAAAGTGGTGGTGTAGGGCTCTGGAGTTGCTGACCCCCAGAGCTTGAGCTGAATGTCTTTAGGGTGGGACTTACTGTGGGGTGGAATGCTCCACCGGGCATTTATTAGCAGACTTGAAAGCACTTCTTAATGTGTCCTGATAAACAACTCTACCCTGAGCATTTCTCACTGATATTACAACTTGGTAGCTTCCTTAATAAACACTTTCCGTATGAATTTTGTCTGCGTTTTTTGTAGCCATTGCGATGCATATTGGAACCCTGAGAGATCATGTAGAGAATACGGAGGCAACATAGGGTGATTTAAGATATGTATCTCTAACAGATGGAAACCTCTTCAGTGACCTTTCATGTTATATCTGCTAGGTTTAAAAAGGAACACATGTAGGGATGTATGGGTGTGACATTTTCATACCATGTGCCGTGCTTGTACGTAGTACTGTACGGGGGAGCATAGTGGATTGCTGTCCAGAAGCAGTGTATACATTTCTTATTCTACTCTTCAGTTACTGTACACATTTTTGCCGTTTCTACTCACCAAGAAGCAGGTTGTAAACCACATTCAGGCAATGGTTAGCATTAAAATGCGTTTCTAGCATACATTGAGCAGTGCATGCTGTGATGTGAGGACCTTACTAGAATTGTGCACTCAGAATCTAGATGCCTTAGGAACTATTGATGAAGACCACACACAAAACCGCGATACCATACAGAGGCTGAAAGCACCGCTAACAGAACGCAAGCACTAGAGTGTGCTGTGCCATCTGCAGATTGCAGGCTGCTCATGAACCTTCCTTGACGCCTGACGCTGCATTTCTCTTCATACAGCGCAATTTCATAGATTACTTGCTCGGCATACAGACTGAATAAGTAGGTGGAAGGATAGCAGCCTGACACATCTTTCCTGATTTTACATCATGCAATAGTCTCAAGTTTTGTTTGAGCTATGTCGTTTTTGCATGAGCGCAATGAAGTGTTCAGGTATTTATATTCTTTGCAATGCTATCCATAGTTGGTTATGATCCACACAGTCCAATGCCCTTGCATAGTCCATGAAAACAAGTATGAGTTGGAATTGATTGGATGGCAGTGGGTTTGTTTTTTAAAACCTCTCTGTGGTATTCTCTTTTTCCAGCCAAGATCCATTTGACACCAGCACTGATATTTCTCATTCCACATATTCCACTGGGTCTAGCTTGGGTTTATGGCAGTTCTCTGTCAATGTATTGCTGTGTTGATTTTGATTTGTATGTGGTAGCAATGACATTGATAGTTTACATATTTCTTTGGAATGGGCACAAATATAGATCTCTTCCAGTCAGTTGGTCCGGTAGCTGTCTTCCAGTTTTTCAGATTTCTTGGCATAGATTGGGGGTGTCAAACTGGCAGCCCGTGGGCCGCAGAGGTAATTTTTTGTGGCCCACAATGCTCTGAAATAAAATGAAAATAGAAAAAGTTGTTATGAAGAAAATAGCGCTTAGGGGAGATCGAGGCAATGCCGTGAATCCTTTAACTACTGAAGACGAGTAACATCACAAAGTCAAAGTTGCTCATTTTAATTGAGTTTGACACCCCTGGCATAGATGAATGAATGCTTCCAGCGTTGCATCTGGGTTTTGAAACACTTCAGTTGGTATCTGTCAGTCCCTGGAAACTTGTTTTCTTCAGAGCAGAGTGAACTTCTTCCTTCAGGTGCTCAATCATATGCTTCCTCTTGAAATGGCTGAACATGGGCCAATTCTTGGAAGTACCGTGACTGTGTATTCCTTCCATCTTCTCTGGATACTTCCCGTATTGTTTAATATTTTGCTGTGAAGAGTTCTTTGATATTCAAACTTGAGATTTGAGTTTTCCTTCAGTTCCAACAGCAAGCAGAAATATGGAACATTTCTTTCTGTTTGTCTTCTCACTCCAGATCTTTGTGCATCTCGTGATCATATTGTACTTTGTCTTCTTGAGCTGCCCTGTGAAACTTTCTGTCTAGTGCTTTTAACTTCATCGTTTCTTCGATTCACGTTCGCTATTCTATGTTAAGGAGCAGGTTTCAGAGTGTCTTCTGACACTGTGTTCATGTTTGCCTTCTTTCCTTTTAAATGACCCGTTGCTTTTCTTCATGTGTGACCTTGTCCTCCCCCAGCTCGTCAGAGTTTCAATCGTTAGGGTTCAGTGTGTCGAATCTGTTCTTGAGGCGTTCTGCAGATCCAGGTGGAATGTACTCAAGGGCATATTTTGTCTCATGAATTGATTTTAATTGTCTTCAGTGTCAACCTGAACTTACATACGAGCACTTGAGGGTTTGTTCCATAGTCGATTCATGGCTTTGTTTTGACTGTTGATACTGAGCTTTTCCATTGTCTCTCCACACCCCTTCCCCTAGACCCCCTCCCCATCAAACCAAGCTCACTGCTGTGGAGTCAGTGCCAACTTACAGTGACCCTGTAGCCCCGGTAGGATTGCCCTGTGAGTTTATTAGATTGTAGCTCTTTAGGAGAGTGGAAAGCCCCATTCTTCTCCCTCAGAGTGGCAGGTGACTTTGAACCGCTGACCTTATAGTTAGCAGCTCAACTCAGTCACTAAGCCACCAAGGCTCCTTTCTCCTCTCACAGATGTAGCTAGTTTGATTCCTGTGTGTTCTAGCTCATGGGGTGCTTGTCTAAGTTGTCATTTATGTTGTTGAAAGAGATATATCCCATGAAGAAATCATTGGACTTTCGAAATTCTATCATATGGCCTGCAGTTTTGTTTCTATCACCAGAGCCATATATTTCAACTACTGACCAGCTCTTTGTTTCCATCTATTGCATTCCAATCATCAGTACAGTGAACCCTCGCCACTTCGCGCTTCGACTTCTGCGGCTTCACTCTATCGTGTTTTTTGCGTAACATCACCCACTGCCTACACCCGCTCCTTCAGAGGAAAAAGACGGCAACCCACTTGTAGAGTACATCCCTTAAGTCATTTCATAGGCTATTGATTACAGTATTTGTAAGAACTATGTATAATAATACTGTATGTGAAATATGTAATACTGTAAACTAGATGCCATAAATAATATAATAAATAATAAATGATCATTGTAACGTCCAAAATGTTTTACTGTATTTTCCCTTTTTCGTTTAATAAATTGGGTAATACGAGTGTAATGGTGACTAAAGGGTGTTTTTTCATGTCCTATATGCTCTAACTACGAAAATATTTGATTTACAAATAAGGAATCCTACTTCGCGGAATTTCATTTATCACGGTAGGGTCTAGAACCGATTAACCGCGATAAACGAGGGTTCACTGTACTTACCAATGCCTCTTGATTTCATGTTTGATCAATTTCAGACTGCAGAAATTGGTAGAATTTGTCAATCGTTTATCCCTAGCTTTAGTGGCTGCTGTGCAAATTTGAATAGTATTTGTACTAATGGTCTCTCTTGTAAGCATGTAGATAATAGCCTACGGTGGACAACACTGTACTGCAGGGTAGATCTTGAAATGTCCTTTCTGACAGCGACTATGGCACCATTCCTCTGGAATCAGTCATTTCCAGTGTAGCAAACGATATGATTGTCTGCCTCAAAAAGACCCCTGTGAGTCATTTGAGCTCACAAATGCCCATGATATTGTTATGTATTCTATTTCATTTTTTATGATTCCTAATTTTCCTAAATTCATGCGTCAGGTGTTCCACATTTTGATCATTGATGAATCTTTGCAGCTGTTTCTTTTCATGCCCCAGTAACAACAGAAGGGCCTGCAATGTTTGCTCCTTCCCTGCTGACAGCATCAACTTTCTTTTGAGGAGTCAGCGTTATTTCTGAGTGCCTTCCAGCCTAAGGAGCTGCACATCTATCTTCTGGCACTATCTAAGACAGTGCTCTGCTGGTATCCACGAGGTTTTCAGTGGCGGAATCCCCAGAAGTGTGCAGCCAAATCTTTTCTATAGTCTCTGCCTTTAGGCTGGGACGCTCCACTGAAACATGCTCAGCATGAATGGCCCTGCTGGTACTTGAAATACTGGTGACATAGCTTTCAGCATTTCAGCAACACGCAAGCCATCACTGTACTTCAGGCGGATGACACAGTACTTGTGCCATTGTTTTTAAATGAGGTTACATCATGAGTAGCTCTCTCTCTCTCTCACACACACACACCCACACACACACAATCATACATATACGAGAGTGCTTCAAGTGTTCCTGGAAGAGTGAAATGGAAAAATTATGATTTTTTTGCCCCATGAACTTTTGGAAGCCCCTTTGTACATAGCTCACATATCCTGCTTGAACACATCAGTAAGCAGAGGAGGGGTACTGCAGTTTAGAGTCCTCAGATGCCTTAATCTCGTCTTGCAGACATGGAGAAGACAGTGTGGAGATGAGGGCAGAGCAGGGAGGTAACGAAGTCACGAGCCAAGGGATGCCTTCTGCTAGTAGATGTTAGGAAGGCATGTGTGTTAGGCAGAGTTCTCTGGAGAGGCAAGACCAGGACGCTTAGGAGTCTATAGACGTAAAAGGATAAGTCTATATCAAGAAAATGAATGTAACAGCAAATTAGTCCACAGAGAGCTCAGTCCAACTTACTTTCATGGGGCAGTTAATATACTGAAGGTCCTTCCAACCCAGGTTCTCACTAGCCCAAGACCAAGGAAGCAGACAGTAAGAAGATGAAGCAGTGAAGTGTGGCAGAGACCAGTCGTGTGGCTCAGTGAGGTAGGTTGAGTGGAACCTCACGATGTAGTGATGGGAAGTGGCTGGTGGAGGTGCAGTTTCTGGAGTGGTGGCAGCAGATACGGCAAGGTGGGGCAGCACTGCATGGGACAACATGGCATGGTGAAGTGGTCCACCACTGGCCACGGGTTGGCTCTGCCCTCAGGTAGCACAGCACATGGATTGAAGCAGGGCAGCTAAATCCGGCAGCCGGCTGGTTCATCCATCAGGGAGAGAGAGAAAGGAGAAAACCTTTTATCTCCGTCACACCTCCAAAGGAGGTGTTCCAACTGCAACCTGATTGACAGGCTAAACTCCATCCACATCTTCCTCTGGGTACCATATTGGCACAACAAAAACCTAACGATCACAGCATGAAATGGATTTTCTCCTAATTGACACCTTCATTTGTAACCTCCAGAATGGTGAGAGTGTAATATTTTGTTGTATTAAGCCATCCAGTTTCCTTAATACAGAAAATTCTGCATTTGTTTGCAAATGGGGACCACATTCAAATATAAGAAATTATATTTAAGATATGCTCCATGTAGGGTATAAATCATCATGTCTTGAAGTAGATGCAGCACAATTTAATCTACTTAAAGCAATACTGGTTATTCACACCCTCATTTAATACTAGGACACGGACTTTATAATGAGACTTTTTATGTTTTTTACAGAAGACATAACATCAGACTAAGATGCTGCATATTCATGTAAACTGGAGTTTGCTAGGCATCTGTCAGTAGTGGAGACTTAATTGTGGGACTCAAATGTGGCGCATTAAAACTTTTCAAAATAAAAGGCATACACCATCATGTTGGCATGAAGGGATGTTGCAACCAACCCATAAGGCTTACCTGTCAAACCATTGCTCCCCAGAGGAAATTCCTTGCATCCCCTCCCCATTTAAAAATTACTTTTTTTTGGTCAATGAAACTACAAATGCGCTTTTTCTTTTTAGAAAAAGAAATATCTGCCCTGTTGCCTTAATTTTTCATTAACATTTAAAATTACAATTATCAATCATCCTGCTTGGAAAAATGCTTTCGGATCTTTCGACCTGCAAAAATTCTAATGGCCTACGCATATGAGGGAGCTTCAAAAAAGGCCATGGAAAACCTGTCATCCAGCTAAGGATATTGGAAGGAGGTGTGGAGATGGAATTGTGTTGTGAGCAGAGACTCGGTTAAGTTACATGAAATTTGTCCAAAAGGAGTGGGTTGTTTCTGGCATGTGGGTGGAAAGCAGAATGAGCAGGTTAGATAGCAATTAGGGACAGAAGTAGACAAGCGTGCAGCTCCTTCTGAATTCGGCCAGTGTCCTGATTCATTGAAGCCACCTCCTCCATTTTCTCTGACAACCTTACTTTTGTGTTCAGTTAGTCCCTGACTCATAGTGGACCGTGCACAGTGGAATAAAATGCTACCTGGCCATGTACCATCACTACAAGAGGCTGTAGATTGGATTTATAGTGCTTTCAAAGGCTTATTTGGGGGAATGAGGTTGCCAGGATTTAATTTCTAGTTTGTCTTAGTCTGAAAGGTCTGCTGATGTCTGTTCAGCATCATAGCTAGATACCAGTCTCTCTTGATGGACACATGTGGCTGCATTACAGGCGGGACTTAAACCGGGGTCTCCTGCATGGAAGGCAAGGGCTGTACCACTGAACCAGATGGTGGCATAACGTGGCTTCTCATGGTGACTGGTAGGCACCAACTCAGAGGGTATGGAGGCTGTAAAAGAAAATGTTCGAGGACCTAATGTCGGGGGTTTAAATGGAGAGAAAATGTTTTGAGAAACGATGTACAAATGCGCTTTACACAATTGATGTGTGTATGGATTGGGATAACAGTTGTATGAGCCCCTAATAGAATGTTAAAAAAGAGGAGGGAAAAAAAAAGAAAATGTTCTTTAAAATCTATTGGTTCCCTCGGATGAAAGAGGAGAAGATTGGATGAGCTGAGTGGTAAAGTCCCTTTCAAAATGAATACCTTGTTCTCCCCTTTGACCCATTTTCAATTTATACCAGTTTTTATTATTTTCTGGTATCTTTTCAATGGATAAGGGAGACCTTTCCATTTTATTTTGTGCTTTATTTTGTTGTTTTTTTGTTGAATGTTTTTCTTTATAAGAAGTTGAGGGCAGTAATCCTACAGAGACAGTAATTGGATTAAAAGTTTCTAAGGGTGATGACAGGGGAGGTTGGGGGAAAATAGGGACCTAATAATAAAGATACAAGAAAGGAAAAATATGTTCTAAAATTAATTGTGGTAATGGTTGAATAATACGTTTTTAATATGCTCACCCTATTGAATTGTCTATGTGAATTCTATGTCAAAAACTGTTAAAATGAAAACAAAACAGAAAAAACCCAAATACCTGGTGATTTATAGGAATTGTTAAAAATGGCAGAATTCCCTTAACATTTAGACTTTTTAATTGTCTTGCTCTCCGTTGTCCTTTCTGAAACAGTATTTTAAAAAGTCACGTTCTCAATTTGTCTCTTGTGGAATATTATTCTAGTTGAGTATTTGGCTTAAAATTTGTGTTGCAAGATTATCACACTGATGTAATGATCTTTTCCCCCCTCTAGGCCCTGCAGGAGCGGCTAAGGATGCGTAAGTACTTGATTTTATGATTCTCTAAACCCTCTGAGGAAGACACCCTTTTCCAAGCTGATGGCTTTCAGATGTCTGTACATGTGGCTGGAAAGGCATGAGGACACTTTCTGTTACTGTGCACATACAAGACTAGCATGTGGTTTATAACTGGCATGTGGTTTATAACTAAGGTGCTACTGAAGAATGTCTTTATTTGTGACTTTTATTTTAGCCTCTCAGTTGACCTGATACCTTAGCTCAGAACTCAAAGAAAATGCACAATTTGAACCCTGTTTCCTTTTGCACTTAGGTGGTGATCTCTGGTAGTTAAAAGCAAGTGACGGTGCAGTCGTTAAGCACTGTTATTGAGCAGCACCTTAGAGTTAGCCAGTGTGGACAAACATCTACCAGATGTCGCTGGAGACTGTGCAGCCAATACTAGCTGTTTGAGTGACACCTGTGACTGTCAACATGCTCATCGTGGAGCAGACCTTTAGACTATTGACCACCCCGGACCTCCAAACCAAACCCCCTGGTACTGAATCAACTCTGACTCACAGCAACCCTACAGAGGGTTCCTGAGATCGTTTTTGGTAGCAGACAGTCTCATCTTTCTCCCTTGGAGTGGCTGGTGAGTTTTTATTGCCAACCTTGTGGTTAGCATCCCAACACTTAACCCTCTGTGCCTCCAGGGTCCCGTAGTCTAGGTATAACAAGGTCATTGTAATGGCTTATGCTTTAAGAGGATCACGTGATTGCCTAACGGGGCTAGATTCTACCCTTCTGTCCAACCAAAACTTTGTTTACCTGTCAAGGCTGAGGACTGTGCACACCCAGCCAGAAGATATGAACAGATCTATTATTCACATAAGAAGGCTTTCTGGGAAGAGCAGGACAGGTTCCCAAACTGGTTCATGTAGCTTGAGAGAAAGGAAGGGTGACTGACTTGGCTTTTTATTGGGGTTAAGGAGTGGGGCTGGGGTTCCTATGAGTTTCCTGTTCACCAATGAAGTGTTCTGGAAATTGATGTATGGATTGTTAGAAGAGTTGTAAGAGCCCCCAATAAAATGATCTTTTACTACTACTACTACTACTAATGTGTTCTGGAATTCCCATTCTTCTCAAGGCTGTCCGTAGTTTGGTATAAACCACAAAGTTGAAAGCCTATGGACTAGTCAGTAAAACACAATCTGGGTTTCTGTGATGCTCACCTTCCCGACACAATTGCTGAAGACAAAGTGGGTGCATAAGCAAATGTGGTGAAGAAAGCTGATGGTGTCCGGCTATCAAAAGATATAGTGTCTGGGGTCTTAAAGGCTTGAAGATAAACAAGTGGCCATCTAGCTGAGAAGCAACAAAGCCCCCATGGAAGAAGCACACCAGCCTGTGTGATCATGAGGTGTCGATGGGATCAGGTATCAGGCATCCAAGACCCAGAATAAAGCCATACCCAATGTGAATGAGAGGGGGGCATGGAGTGGAGACCCAATGCCCAGCTGTAGACAATTAGACATCCCCTCACAGAGGGGTCACAGGGAAGAGATGAGCCAGTAAGGGTGCACCAATGAAACACACCACTTTCCTCTAGCTCTTTGGTGCTGCCTTCATCCCACTATCATGACCTCAATTCTACCTTACAAAATGGACTAGACCAGATCCGTAACACAGGGAATCCAGGATAGATAAACCCCTCAGGGCCAACAAGGAGAGGAGAGATACCAGGAGGATTAGGGGAGGGTTGGGAGAGAAGGGGAATCGATCACAAGGATCAACCTGGAGTCCCCTCTCAGGGAGACAAACAACGGAAAAGTGGGTGAGGGGTGATGGAGGACGATGTAATATATGGAAAAAATAATCTATAACGTATCAAGGGTTCGTGAGGGAGGGCGGTGGAGGGAGGGGGAAGAAAAGGGGAGCTGATATCGGGCTCAAGTGGGAAAAATGCTTTGAACATGATGATGGCGGCATATGTATAAATGTGCTTGACACATTGGAGGAATGTATGGATTGTGATAAGTGATGGAAGAGCCCCCAATAAAAGTATTTAAAGAAACAAAAACAAAAAAAACCCCAAAATACAAGTAAGCATCTTTCTGGTAGTCCCTGATTTCAAGCAGGACCTCTCTGCCATCAGCCATGGTTTCCCTTGTTCCACATCCTTTTCTAAATCCGGCCTGAACCTCTGGCAACTCCCTGCCAACATGCTTCTGCAACCATTGTTGAATGATGATCTGAAGCAAAATTTTACTTGCATGTCATATTAATGATATTGTTCTATAGTTTGAGCATTCTGTTGGGTCACCTTTCTCTGGAATGGGTACTAATATGGATCTCTTCCAGTCAGTTGGCTAAGTCGTCTTCCAACTTTCTTGGCACAGATGAGTGAGTGCTTCCAGTGCTTCATCAGCTTGTTCAAGCATGTCAGTTGGTATTCCACCAGCGGACGCCATGTTTTGGGCTAATGCGTTCAGCTTAGCTTGAGCTTCTTCCTTCAGCACCATGGGTTCTTGCTCGTGCTGCTTTATGAAATGGTACACTGTTGACTGGTTCTTTTTGGTGCAGTGACTCTGTGTGTTCTTTCCGTTTTCTTTCGATCTTCTGGCATCATCCAATATTGTGTCCATAGAATCTTTCTATAGTTGTATAGGTTGCTCCAAACTTCTCATTGCAGCGTTTGAGCTTTTGACCCATAGTATTTAGCAATAGTGAGGCCTGTTCCTCTATTAGTGTAGTATGCTGGCCTCTCCCTTCCAGTCCTTTTCTGTTGTTACTAGATTCTTTTTGTTTATCCTCCAGCACTGCCCTGCCCATGTGCAACTTAGGCTTAAAAAATGTTCAGTTACTCCCCATTGCCCACTGAATTGAGCCCTGAATCCCATGGGAAGGGAAGGGCACTTATGGTTTAACCTTAAACTGTCAGACTCTGGATAGGATGGAAAGAAACACTGAAGCCAGAGGGTGAGCAAATTCAAGGAGTAAGTGGGAAGCTGAATCCTGCTAAACAAGACTCCCCTCCAAGCCCAAGTGGCACATGCTTCTGTCGGGTTCCCTCACCTCTGCTGTTCCCACAGCCTGGAATGGCCTTTCCTCCAACTTTGCTTATCAAATTTGCATCTGTTCTTTGGGAACAATATTTTATTCTTTGTCAAAAGTATTTCCTGATCTCTCATTCAAAAGTTAGTGTCTTTTTCCTTCTGAGCACTTACAGCATTTTATATCTTTCTTATATCCTGGGTAACTCAGGACCATTTATGTTCTTGTCACTTCCCCTTTGGGAATTGAAGGAGATGAAATGTCTTTTCCACCTTAATGTCTCCTTTAGTTATTGGGGACTATGTTCATGCTTTGAACATAAGCCAAATGGAACTCACTGCCATTGAGTCTATTGCAATTCATATTGACCCCATTGGACTGAATAGAACTGGCCCTTTGGGTTTCTAAGACTTTAAATCTTTTTTTCACCATCTGTTTAATTTAATGTTTTCTTTCTAAGAAATATTCTTATTGCCATATACTTCACAGATCATACAATTGAGTTGTTCAGTCTTATTAAAGAGGAGTTGTGCCATCATCACCACAATCAATTTTAGAACAACTTCTTCTTGTCCTTAGTGTTAGCTCCCCATTCCTCCCCATCTTCCCCTGCCATGCCACTAACCCAAATCCAAACTCACTGCTATCTATTGAGTAGGTGGTGACTCATAGTGACCCTATAGGACAGAGTCGAACTGCCCCATGGCGTTTCTGAGACTATAACTGTTTATGGGAGTAGGAATCCCTGTCTTTCTCCTGTGGAGCAGCTGGAAGTTTCAAACTGCTGACCTCATAGATTGCAGCTCAAGGCTTAATCACTATGCCACCCAGGCTCCCTTGTCATGCCACTAGGTAATTATTAATACAGTTACTGCCCCTATCGATTTACTTATCCTGGATTTCATATATAGAAAATCATACAAAACAAAAATAGGAAACAAACAAACAAGCAATCAAACCCTAACAACAATGACTAGGCAAAACAGAAAAACTTTAACCAAAAAGGAAGCAGTAAAGATTAAAAGCTGAAACCACTTTGAAGTGGATCAAAAGGGAGATCAAACAATAAGGTACTACATTTTTTTCTCATCATTTTATTAGGGGCTCATACAACTCTTATCATAATCCATACATACATCAATTGTGTAAAACGCATTTGTA